CTCACACATCCATACATGACTACTGAAAAAAACCATAGCCTTGAATAGACAGACCTTTGTTGACAAAGCAATGTCTCTGCTTTTTAATATGCTGTCTATAATGGCCATAACTTTTCTCCTAAGGAGAAAGTGTCTTTTAATTTCATGACTGCAGTGACCATCTGCAGTGATTTTGGAGGCCAAGAAAATAGTCTCTCACTGCTCCCGTTTTTCCCTATCTATTTGCCATGAAGTGATGGAACCAGATATCATGATCTTCATTTCTGGAATGTTGAATTTTAAGCCAGCTTTTTCAGTTTCCTCTTTCACTTTCATCAATAAGCTCTTTAGTTCCTCTTCACTTTGTGCCATAAGGATGGTGTCATCTATGTATCTGAGATTATTGATAATTTATCCTGGGAATCTTGATTCCAACTTGTGCTTCATTCAGTCTGGCATTTTGCATGATGTATTCTGCACATAAGTTAAATAAGTAGGGTGACAATAGACAGCCTTGATATACTCCTTTCCCGATTTGGAACCAGTCTGTTTTTCCATGTCTGGTTCCGTTACTTCTTGACCTGCATACACACAGATAGTCCATTACCAAAGTCTGTGAGTTCTGCTTCACGTTTTAATATTTTTAAAACTTTTATTTTGTATTGGGATATAGCTGTTTAACAATATCGTTATGGCTTCAGGTGAACAGTGAAGGAACTCAGTTATATATGTATATGTATTGATATTTTAAATTGTTTTTTATTGAAGTGTAGTTCATTTACATTGTTAGTTTCTGCTGTACAGCAAAGTGAATCAGTTACACATATGCATATACCCATTTATTTTTAGATTCTTTTCCCATGCTGCTATTGATTATTGAGTAGAATTCCCTATACTATACAGTGGGTCCTTACTAGTCTACTTTATACATAGTAATGTGTATGTTGATCCAACTCTCCAAATTTATCCCTTCCTGCTCTTCCCCTTGGTAACCATAAGTTTGTTCTCTACATCTATGACTCTATTTCTGTTTTGTAAATAAGTTCATTTTCAGATTTTTTTTTCTTTTACCTTCCACATATAATTGTAATATTTTCTCTTCTCTGTCTGACTCTATTTTACAATATATCTCAAATATGTTTTCTTTTCTTCATCTCTACCCAAGCCCAGGTTTTCCTTGCCTCACTGGGAGTTTAATATTCGCAGATAACCAGTCTTATATACTCTACTCTTATCAACAATGAAATCATTCTTGTCACAGTAGAATAATTTTTTAAAAGTAAATTTAAAAAATCAGCACTCACCAGTCCTCTAACTTAAATCATCCAACAACCTTCTATTGCAATCTGAATAAAAACATTTTCCAAACTATAACTTGATGTGTCCTGAATGATGTCATTTCTAATTTCTCCCGTTTCTTCTGATACCTCAATCTAAGATGACTCATTTAATTACTTTTTTTCTCTTACTTGGATGTAGGTTTTAAATCCCTAGCAATTGACATGTGGTATATAATTATATATACATTTATATGTAATTTACATATTCATATTGCTAATATATGACAAATGAGAAAGTAAATGCATGCAAGTCAGCTCTCTGCCTTCTCTACAATTCCTTATGTCAGTAAGGGACTAGCCATAATGACTCCAGAGGAAGTCTAAAGCCACTTTCCAGTGACAACCTCTTGTTAAGCTTATTAAGCTAAGTCTCCAACCACAACTCTCCAGACAAGATTAGACTTTGCTCTGCACTCATTCCAATCTTGTTCTTAGCTTTATTATCATAATTGCCTGGAATATGGCATAGACTATGTATAGTTCTTTTATGAGATGAGGCAACAAATCTAAAAATTAAACTAAGATAAAGCTACACTGTGTTGAAAAATGGAGATAACACATTATTGAAAGAATATTTATTTAATCATTCCATAGATATTTACTGAGCATTTTACCAGTTGTTCCAGGTTTTGTCAGGCCTGAGGTATATAAAATTGAGAGTGCAGAACTCCTTTAAAAAATACAAAGATTACTTTTTCAACTTTCACTAAAGCATGTGACCTGTGAATACATGCCTAGGGCTTCTCTCTATTGTTTATGCAAATGAGGGGTCTGAAAGTTAAGTGTAATATCCTTGAAGGCAAGTGGTGAGAGCTGTCTGAGAGCTGACAAAACACTGTACCAGTTACTGGAATCAGTTGTGAAAGACATCTCAGCTCTGAAAGAGATATTCAATAGTGCAGAATTATAATAAATATCACAAATGCTGGGGTCAAGGTAAGTCCAGGGTGCTTGGAAAGCAAAGTAGAAGACGGCCTGGGGAAGGCCTTATGAAGAAGTAACATTGTGACAGAGTGTCTTAGTTCAGACTTGCCCTTGCCAAGAAAATAGTACTGAGGGGAGAGAATGGTGTTAATGAAAATGAGGTACAACAGTGCAAAAGAGGTGATAGCCTTTGCAAAAGCACTGAGGCATAGAAGAGGTTGCTAGACTTGTGAACCATCAATCTAAGGGGGAAGCATCAAGCACTGATGACAGCGGAGGGCAGATATCCATTCAAAAGAAACTGGTGTCACACTAAGCAGCGTGTTTCTCCTGAAAGTCACTAAAGATGTTTAAATTGGGAAATAATTGAAAAATACATGTCTTAATAATGTAATTCCTTTGATAATGTAGAAAATCAGTTGAAGTGGGGCAAGATTGGAACCAACAGGAATAGATAGTGTGCTGTTTTTGTAACCAGTGAGGAGGAAAATAAAGGCTTTGAAATAAGGAATCTGGAACATGCCTACTTCCAGTTCATGTTCTTCATTCAAAGAGGAATCATTTAAACAATGCAAAATATAGTGGGAATTTTAATCTCATTAATAACAGGAACATTAGGAAATTGAGTATCCTGGCTCACTGTCTCCAATCTGCTCCTACTGGGCCTCCCTTGTGGCTCAGCAGTAAACTATCCACCTGCAATTCAGGAGCTGCAGGAGATGCAGGTTCAGTCCTCAAATCAGGAAGATCTTCTGGGGGGCAAAATAGCAACCCACTCCAGTGTTCTTGCTTGGAGAATCCAGTGAACAGAGGAACCTGGCAGGCTACTGTCCACAGGGTCACAAAGAGTCGGACACAACTGAAGCAATTTAGCACACACACTGCTCCTACTGCACCAAGCTTAACAGTTCATTAAACTTCAGTTTTCTAGTCTGAGGAATGGGAGAAACAACCTAGAAAATCTCTGAAGTTGCCTTGCAATTCTAAAATTCCAAGGACTGCACAGTTTGTCTCATTTCTATTATAGAGCTGTTATTTATTGCTCTTTTCTGCAAGTTAGGAAAAGAAAATGAGCTCATTTACTTGGAATTAATCCTCTGATTGTGCTGCCTTATATCTAGAATGCCAAGCATTGAGATAGATGTTTACAAATAGTAATTAAAAATCAGTTATCTTTATTGGAAAAGGCTCTTCAAAAGAAGAGCATAATTTAAATATGAATTCTAAATTAAAAGGTTAACTGTGTTTTCTCTTATGCCATAATAGCAGAAACTGTCTCTCTCTCTTTCAACATATCATATATTATTTATCTTAAAATAACATAAATTAATAGTTATGTACAACTAAGCACCTCAACATTCCATACTTATACATTCAGTTTAGGCTGCTTTAAATAATTCTACAAATTAATTCTAACTGCAGTTTTGTTGAGGTGCTCCTAGTCTCCACTTGAATAAAAAACCTGGTATCAAGCAAGTGCTTATGCATAATTTGCTATGTATACACATGTCAGTAAGCCTTTCAAGCCTCCTAGTCAATATATACTCAAAATAATGTGTTTTATTTTACAAACGGAGACACATAGAATTGAATTGCTTGTGTTTTAACACATTTGAGTCCAAAACAGCAATTTCATATGATTCATCTAATATGTGAGATATTTCATATGGTTTATACTAATATGTGAGAGTCATAAAAATAATTTCTCTTTTCAAGAATTTTAATTAATTAAAGACCATTTTGTGGAACATTAATATATAAAGTACAGGATATAAAGCCCAAAGCAAAGAAAGCTGCACTGTGAAAAGATCACATTTTCAAATATATTAGAAGTCAAACCAAAAAAAAAGAAAAAAATTGAAATTCTGGACTTGATTTTCCCCTCAACTGAAGCATCATAAGAACCAGAAGCTCTCTGTTGAGTAGTTGCAAATTATCTATGGAAGAAAAGGGGAAAACACATATGCCAAATCTTCTATGGAGGTCACCTGGAACTCCAGCTGCAAAGTACATGACTTAGAAGCCCTCATGCTAGAAATACATACTTCACAGGTGGCAGCAATGCCGGATGGAGATGAAGCCTAGTACATTGGGAAAATAAACTAAAAACTGTTTGGGGAGATTTTTGGTAAATTAAATTAGCAAGAATGTGTCTTAATCACTCAGTTAAGGTCAACTCTTTGTGATCACACGGACTGGAGCTCACCAGGCTCCCCTGTCCATGGAATTCTCCAGGCAAGAATGCTGAAGTGGATAGCCATTCCTTCCTCCAGGGGAACTTCCTGACCCAGGGATCGAACCCAGGTCTTCAGCATTGTAGGCAGATTCTTTACCATTAGAGTCACCACGGAAGCCCAGAAGATTGTAATTGACATGGTGTCGATTACATGATTATAATTGACATGGTAGGACTGTTTTATTCTAGTCAGATATTGGGGAAGGTACAATAAGATAAGGACTTTAGAACAGAGTAGATCCTCCTTTTTCATATTTTATCTTTGCTTTAAAGCCCTTGTAAAGAACTGTTTTAAAAATATGAACTTTTAGAATTTGGCTGTTCAGTGCTAAGTTTACAGTGACTTACTCCCCCTCACCAAAAGAATATATATGCCATGGCACATGTGGGGAAAGATAATTATGGCAAAGGAAACTCTGCTACAGACTAGTGTGAGCCAAAGAGAAGCTTTAAAAAGTATGTGGAGAAATAAAATGTTCAATAGCATTACTATATTAGAACAAAACAAACTTAGGTAGTAACTTACATCACTTTGAGTTGATCTTGAGGAGAGATTGGGAAGCTCATCATAAATGATATATCCTCTGAGTAATATATAAAGCCACAAGGAATTTCTGGCAATCAGCAAAAACAAACAAACAAACAAACAAAAGACAAATAGCTCAGTAGGAAATGAATAAAAATAAAAACAAATCAATAAGTGTTTAACCCCAATAGTAATTAAGAGAAATGTTAACTAAGATGACATACTACTTTACATTCTTCCTTGGTGGCTCAGACGGTAAAGCATCTGCCTACAATGCGGGAGACCCGGGTTTGATCCCTGGATTGGGAAGATCCCCTGGAGAAGGAAATGGCAACCCACTTCTGTACTCTTGCCTGGAAAATCCCATGAACAGAGGAGCCTGGTAGGCTACAGTCCATGGGGTCGCAAAGAGGCAACTGATTGACTTCACTTTCACTTACATTCTTCAGATTGAAAAATAATTCAGGCAACATCAAGAGATCGTAATGATATAGGAAAACTAGAACTCTCATGAACTGAGAGAAAGGGAGAACAAACTATTGCAGTTCCTGAAGACAGAAATCAAAATATTTAGTCAAATTCAGTATGTGCATACAGTGTGAATTAAGACCTGTGACCTATGATAAATTCCAGTCCTGGATATAGATGCAGAGATACACCACAAAACATATTTAGGGACTTTCCAAGAAAGCGTTAGTGAAGGAAAAGCAATCTCATTTTCCATTATTATGCAATGGAGATAAAATTATGGTGGAAGTTTAAACTACCATGCAACAGTCAGAGGACTGAATGAAATATTTCTAGAGCTCCAAAATTAGTCTTAAAAACAGTAAGAAAGAGGATGAGATTTATAAAGTAATGTCATAACTTATTTCTATTTATTTCTGATTTTTCTTAAAGCATAGTACACATATAATAACCAGTCAATCCTAAAGGAAATCAGTCCCAAATATTCATTGGAAGGATCAATGGTGAAGCTGAAGCTCCAATACTTGGGCTACCAGATGTGAACAACTGACTCATTAGAAAAGATGCTGATACTGGGAAAGATTGAAGGCAGAAGAAGGGGACACAGAAGATGAGATGTTTGAATGGCATCACTGACTCAATGCACATGATTTGGAGCAAGCTTCAGGAGTTGGTGATGGACAGGGAAGCCTGGCGTGATGCAGTACATGGGGTCGCAAAGAGTCGGACACTACTGAGCAACCGAACTGAATTGAACACGTATAATAATATATCAGTTTCTAGTGTACAACATTGGGGAAATGAAAGGTTGTTGCTGAATGACAAGATGCGGGATTCTTGGCCTCCGGAGGAGACGAATTCAATCCGGGGCCAGAGACGAGGCTGGGTCGCTCAGAGCTTTTGTGTAATAAAGTTTTATTAAAGTATAAAAGAGATAGAGAAAGCTTCTGACATAGGTATCAGAAGGGGGTGGAAAGAGTACCCCCCTCCTAGTCTTTAGCTGTAAATTATATAGTCACTCACAGTCTGTTAATGAAAAGAAAGGAATGTCTTAGAATTTAGAATGGCACCAGATAATTCATCCCTGGCCATAAAATGATTGACTTGAATCTTGTAGAAGGGCAGATTACCAAGAAATAGTTTCATTTACATATATTAGGGAACAATATCTGAATAAGTAGGTTAGGCCTTTTGGTGGAGCCAACTTGAAGATAGAGTCTGAGGTACATTAACATAGCTTAAGACAACATTTCCATAAGAAAAAGAAATGTATTGGTTAACTCAAGCTTTGAGAGTAGTTAGCTTCAGGTGAAACCAGGTGTCATGGCAACACAGCATTTTAAGAGAAACCTCCTTTTAAATTTGTATAGAGAAGAAAAAATATCGCTGGTTTGTTTCTTCCTGCTGCTTAAGAGAGATCAAAATGTCTGGCATTTGCAGCCTGTTTCCTCCGTTTGGAGGCCTCTGGCCTTCCTGCCTGTCACCCTCTCAGAAGGAAATGGCAACCCATTCCAGTACTCTTGCCTGGAGAATTCCATGGACAGAGGAGCCTGGCAGGCTACAGTCCGTGGGATCACAAAGAGTCAGACACCGCTGTGTGACTAACTTTCAATTTCAGTGTACAACATGGGCTTCCCAGATGGATTAGGGGTTAAAAATCCACCTGCCAACGCAGAAGCAAGGAGATGCAGATATTATCTCTGGGTCAAGAAGATCTCCTGGAGGAAGAAATGGCAGCCCACTCCAATATTCTTGCCTGGAGAATTTCATAGACAGAGGGGCCTGACAGGCTACAGTCCAGGGGTGTCACAAAGAGTCAGACACAACTGAGCAACTGAACACACATACACGTACAACATTTCTATATATTGCAAATTGATCACCACATAAACCTAATAACCATCTGTCACCATAGAAGATGATTGCAATCTTTTTAATTTTTATTTTGTTTTGAGGTACAGCTGATTAACAAACAGTGCTGTGATAGTTTCAGGTGAACATAGAAGGGAGTTAGCCATAGATATATATGTTTCAATTGTTCTCCAACTCCCCTCCCATTCAGGGTACCACATAACATTAAGCAGAGTTCCATGGGCTACACAGTAGGTCCTTGTTGGCTTTACATTTTAAATATAGCAGTGTGTACACATCCATCCTAAACTTCCTAACTATCCCTACCATCCTTCACTTTGGCAACAGTAAGTTTGTTTGTTTTGTTTAATAAGACTATGAGTCTCTGTCAGTCTGCTAAGATCATTTGTATCATTTCTTTTTAGATTCCCTATATAAGGAATGCCATGCAATATTTCTCCTTCTCTGACTTACTTCACTCAGCATGACAATTTCTAGGTCCATCCATGTAGCTGCAAATTATATTATTTATTTTTAATGGTTGAGTAACATTACATTGTATATATGTTAACACATCATCTTTATCATTTCCTCTGTTGATAGACATTTAGGTGGCCTTGGCTATCTTAAACAGTGCTGCAATGAACATTGGGATGAAGTTATACTTTTCGATCATGGTTTTCTCTGGATATATGCCCAGGAGTGGGACCACGGGATTATATGGTAACTCCGTTTATAGTTTAGTTTTTTTTTTTTTAACTTGTTTTTTAATTGCAAAAAAATTATTTTACAATGCTGTGTTGGTTTCTGCCACACACAGTGCAAATCAGACATAATTATGCACTTATCACCTACCTCTTGAGCCTTCCTCTAATCCTCACATTCCATCACTCTAGGTATCTCAGAGCACCAAGTGGGACTTCTTATGTTACATAGCAACTTCTGAGCAGCTATCTATTTTACTATTTTAAACATGTTGATGCTACTTTATCTGTATGTACCACTCTTTCCTTCCTCCACTGTGTCCACAAGTCCATTCTCTATATTTATGTCTCCATTGCTTCCCAGCAACCAAGTTCATCAATGCTATTTTTCTAGATTTCATTTTGCTATTGTTGTTCAGTTGTTGTGTCTGACTCTTTACGACCACATTAACTGCAGCACACCAGGCTCTCCTGCCCTTGACTATATCCCCAGGTCTTTTCAAATGTACCCATTGAGTTGGTGATGCTATTTAATCATTTCATCCTCTTCTTCCCATTCTCCTCCTGCCTTCAATCTTTCCCAGCATCAGTGTCTTTTACAATGAGTGGCTCTTTGTATCAGGGGGCCAAAGTATTGGAACTTCAGCTTCAGCGTCAGTCCTTCCAATGAATATTCAGAGTCGATTTCCTTTAAGATTGACTTCTTCAATCTCCATACTTTCCATGGGACTCTCAAGAGTCTTCTCTAGCACCACAGTTCAAAAGCATCAGTTCTTCAGCACACAACCTTGTTTATGTTCTGACTCTTACATCTGTACATGACTACTAGAAAAACCGTAGCTTAGACTGTATGACTTTTGTTGGCAAAGTGATGTCTCTGCTTTTTAATAAGCTATATGGGCTTGTCATAGCTTTCCTTTCAAGAAGCAAGCATCTTTTAATTTCATGGCTATAGTCACCATCCCCAGTGATTTTAGAGCCCAAGAAAATAAAATCTTCCCACTGCTTCAATTTTTTCCCCTTCTAATTGCCACAAAGTAATGGAACTGGATGCCATGATCTTAGTTTTTTAAACGTTGAGTTTTAAGCCAGCTTTTCACTTTCCTCTTTCACCATCTTCAGGAGGCTCTTTAGTTCCTCTTCATTTTCTGCCGGTAGAGAGGTATTATCTGCATATTTGGGATTGTCAATATTTGCTCCAGACATCTTGATTTCAGTTTGTGATTCATCCAGCCTGCCATTTTGAATGATGCACTCTGCATATAAGTTACACAAACAGGATGACAATATACAGGCATATCACACTCTTCCCAATTTCAAACCAATCCATTGTTCCTTGTACAGTTGTAACCATTGCTTCATGACTTGCATACAGGTTTCTCAGGAGGCAAAGGAGGTGGTCTGGTATTCCATCTCTAGAAATTTTCCACATTTTGCTTGATGCACACAGTCAATGCCTTTGGCAAAGTCAATGAAGCAGAAGTAGATGTTTTTTTCTGGAATTCGTTTGCTTTCTCTATGATCCAAGACTGTTGGCAATTTGATCTCTGGTTCTTCTGCCTTTTCTAATCCCAGCTTGTACATCTAGAAGTTTTCTCTTCATGTACTACTAGAAAGATTTTGAACATTGCTTTGCTAGCATGTGAAATAAGCACAATGTATAGTACTTTGAATATTCTTTGGCACTGCTCTTCTTTGTAATTACAATGGAAAACATCTTTTCCAGTCTTGTGGCCACTGCTGCATTTTCCAAATTGGCTGACATACTGAGTATAGCAGTTTGATAGCATCATCATTTAGAATATTAAATAGTTCAGCTGGAATTCCATCACCTCCACTACCTTTGTTCACAGTAATGCTTCCTATGGCCCACTTGACTTCACACTCCAGGATGTCTGGCTCTAGGTGAGTGACTCCACCATCATTGCTATCTGTTCAGTTTAGTTTCTCAGTAATGTCCAAGTCTAAGAGAGTTACAGGAAAACATCTATTTATGCTTTATTGACTATGCCAAAGCCTTTGACTGTGTGGATCACCATAAACTGTGGAAAATTCTGAAAGAAAT